CAGAATTCTTGGTTCACTCGGAGTTGGTTGATTCGGTTAATATACATCGACAAACCAGGTTTCAGGTTAACTCTAATTTTTTTCACGTTCCTCACAAATTTATATTCTGCTTAATTGCTACTTTCACTGATTAAGAAATACATACGCATGCCCTTTGCAGAATTTGTAGTTTACTAAAAAGATTAAATTGGTTCGTTTAATATTTTCCAGAACATCAGGAAACTCGATTTAAAATTTCGTTTGTTACAAGCAGGAATTTAAAATCTGCTTGATTGTTATTCTTTACCGCTTTAAAAATAAATTCCCACTCCCTTATAATCTGTCGTGTTTGACTAAAAAGAAATTCGAGGCTAATTTGTATAATTTATTCTACAACATCAAGAAACCAGGTGAATTCTTTTTTTTTCAGTTTATAAAGAATTTAAATTCTTTTTAATTCATTGCATTCAAAAAATCATTTTTTCTTTAGGAAATCCATATCAATCTGATTTTTCCCTTTAAAATATCGACTCATTTAAAAAGTATAACTGAAATATGACTCATTTAATATTTTCCAAACCATTAGCAATTTATATTTTCCCAAATAAATGTTTCTTACTACATCAGAAAATTATTATTCTCTTAACCATTTTTTCAAGATTATATTCAAAAGTAAAAATTAATTCACTCGGTTCTTAACCACAAAAAAAATCATTAATTAAGAAATGCTCAGAAATGTATCTAACACATTTACTTATCCTTATTCTAATCGTTTAATGAAAAAAATCATTAATTAATCAATAGTTTAAAAAATCCTTCATTAGTCAACAGTTAAAAAATCATTAATTAAAAAATACTCAGAAATGTATCTTACAAATTTACTTATCCTTATTCTAATCGCTTTAATAATATTAAATATATAGCAAAATAAAGAGATAGAAAAGGATCAAAGAAAAAAAAAACTTGAAAGAAATAAATAAGTTTTATTAGCTGTCATAAGCTGTAAATACATGTAAAACAATTGCAAATTTCTTTTAAAAATAATATAATTTATTTTAAAAATTAAAAAAAAAAGGCCAAGAAACTAAACAACAAAAGGATATAATCTCGCCATTAGCTCATACGATTATATCTGTAAATTAGAGTGCTTCCTAATATTGCATAGATATAGCGAAAGTAAAATATATTAATACAATAGTGTGAAGAGCACCAAAGAAATTGGAGCGAAGATAAAACATATCAAGCAAAAAACACAAAAATATAAGAAAATATTAAAAACAGAATTGCAAGAGAAATGCATATTAAGTAAATAGGAAGATTAAACGTCCATTTTATTATTGATGTCTTGCAAAAATGATTTAAAAACAATAAATCTTAAAAAAAATAAAATAGTACAATTCTTTTTAATTTTTAAAATAAATGTTAAAATTTTGTTATTTTTGAATTAATTAATTAAAAAATTTTAAAAATAATTTGTTGCCTGATTTGCTATTAGTTTGCTATTGTTAAATTAATTTGTTGTTATTTCTATTTAAAAGACTAACTACGTAAAAACTTTTATCGTAATTATTAAAAAATAATGAAGTTTTTTCAAGAGTGATCCATTCACAAAGAAACCAACCTCTTGTAAAATTCGCTTGAAGAGAAATCCTTAGAAATATATAACCTAATCACTTTTGCTAGAATTAAACTGCCGGAAAAATGTTCCCTTTATGCTCCAGGATTTCGAATCTCTTTTCACAAGAGCCCAGGGTGTGCTTGAAGAAGAAAGGACGTCCGCAATCAGTGCGTCCATTCTCGAAAGTTGGATGAAAAGCGCGCAAACAACTTTCCGCAAGTCCTAAATCGCTTCCGCCGGGTTGGTAGGAAGCAATTTTAGTTATTTCTCTTCAAACCAATCAACTAATTGTCGTCAATTACGTTTTATTCAAAATCCGGAAACCGTTCCGGGAGATGGTCCTTCTCACCCCTTCCCTGTCGGCCACTTCTGCTCCCGAATCCCGAATTTAATCATCGTCCTTTGTTGTGAAGTGGACCAAATTATTGACCGGGAAATTGCGCCCGCATTTCTATGCAACATAAGTGGAAAATGCTTCGATTAACGGAGATGATTGTGGTGTCTTTTTCTTTTTATGTTGGCATTCAAGTTTTCTGTGCAAAATAATAGAGCTTCAGGCTTTCTCTGCAACTTTGGGAAATGATTCGGAATTGATTATTATACAATCATTTTCTTTTTTTGTTTTAAAAAGGGATTTAAAGGGAAAAAATAAGAAGAATTTTCTATTTACAAAAAGCAACAATCGATTGCATTTGAGCATTTATCAATAAACACGTAATTTTCAGTTTTAAACACTGAGCTGTTATTAACATTCCATTGCATAAGATTTCTTGAATTAACAATTAAATTGGAGAATAGATAATTCATTGTCCTCTAAATCAAAAGGATTTATACACTGGATGTTATACATTTATTTATTTTTAAAAATGCTTGGGGAAAAAAAAACATACACATTACAGTGAAAAAAAATTCCAGATTAAATTACGGCATCATAAAGTACCGACACTTTAGGAGCATCATCCGTAAAATCCATTTTACCGTAATATCTTTTTTACCATAAAATATTACACCGTAATTTTTACCATAATATTTGCTTAATATTAAAATGCAGAGCTGTTATTAATATTCCATTAACAACATATTACAATAAGGTTTCCAGAATGAATGATTTAATCGGAGAATATATAATTAAAAGTTCTCCAAATCAAATGGATTTATACACGGGGTGAACCTATCCTTTATTACATATTTTTTTTAGAATGTTAATTAAAAAAACACATACATATTACACAGTAAAAAATCTTGATCAAATAACGGTATAGAATAATAGCACTTGGCTATATCATCCGTAAAATCCATTGTTACAGTAAAATATTATACCGTAATTTTACAATAATAATTTTAATGGGAGTGATTCAGTGATTTTATGGAAATTATTACTGTTAAAATTGTCAGACTTTCTATTCCGTAAAATGGATTTAACGGTAAAAAGCACCGGCTTCCTGAGTGGCAGTACTTTTTTACCGTAATTTGATCCTCAATTTTTTACATTGGAGGAGTCGCAAATTAATTTATTGTGCAAGAAAGAACAAGTGCGCTATCGATAATGAGGAAAATGGGTTGAAAAAGTCACGAACAATGTGATTGTCTAATGAAACCTGAAGGTGATTGTAGCAATCACCTTTCATCTCTTTCTGTTCCCTTTGACTATCAAATAAGTTTCAAATTTTTTCAATCAATCTGAACATTTTCAACCGTGATTCGATATAGATTTCGGTATAGTCTTCGTATTTTTCTCGCTTAAAGGTTGATTGTGTTCGTTGCTTTGATTTAACTTTAACTGGGATTCTAAAATTATGCATTAAGGTTGATGTTTGAGAACCATCCTGTTTAAAAGCTTGTTTCTAAATAATATTCATCAGAAAACACAAAGAAAACTGAAGTAAAAACCTTTTACTTTCCCTTAGTTTTGACAATTTTTGAAGAACTAAAAACAACCTTCTAATAAAACACCCAAGTTATTTTTAACTTCCATACCAGTGCCTCTAACGCTTGTTTTTTGTTCCCTTCTAATTTTCTATTTTTTTATAAGCATTTTAACTGATGTCAGAACAACAAAAAATTTGTTTCTATCCTTCTATATTCTATCTTTATTGGCGCTAAAAAAGCATAATACGGCAAACTTTTTTTTACTTAATTCCCAAAATACATTTTGCGAGACTGAGAACGCTTTAGTTAAGCATAAATTGAAGCTCGTTTAAGTAAGAAAGATTCAGCATAGTACGTTCATAACTGACTAGTTTAATAGATTTCCAATCTGTTCAAAAATTGTTGCCTTGTGATCAACCAATCTCTTCAAAAGGCAAAAATTTTTTAAGCACCCGAGCTTTTTTTCTTCATGAAAGTAGCTGTTCCGAATACGTAGTGCTTACTTAATAAAGAATCTAATGTGCATAATCTTGAAGGGCAAATTGAACAATCAAACAAATATATTTTATTTTAAAACTACTAACATTCATATACATATCAATACTTTCTATAAATCTGTATAATTTATTATATTAAATTGCAAAGTGGACAAAATTTTGAATTCACATGAATGCCACGGGGCAATTCCAGGTAAAGAACATATCGAAGAATTCTAAGAAAAATGATTTTGAAAAAAGTTTTCATTGTTTGTTTTCATAATTTTATTTACTTCTTTAAGAAAAACCTAACCTATCTAAAAAATAAAAAGAACATTTTTAACGAAATTGATAACAGACTTTTTTTTTCTGCAATAAAAGACGTGCATTGACAGTTACTGTTGACTCGCAAATAAAATATGGCACATTAGTATGTTAGCCTATCTACTGATCATAAAAAACCGTCTAGACATGCCATTATCAAAAACCAAAAAATAATAACAAAAAAAATTACAAAACTCTATTTATTCAAAAATTTGGAGTTTTAATATTGGTACATCTACTTTATTTACTTGAATTAGCCCATCGTGGAGATTTACATACCTTTTGTTCTAGAAAAAAGTTTTTGTTTTAAACAAAAAAAGTAATTGAACATAAATTGTAAGAAATAAAGTAAAAAGCTATTTTACTTAACTGGTTTTAGCGAATAAAACTTTGCATAAAGAATAATGGCGATTGTTCCGATGGGGAAAAAATAGCTTTCTTTATATTGAGCACTTTAGTTATTTTCTTTAGTCTAAAAATGTTTTTAATTCATTAGGTAATCACACAACAATTATATTAATCTTTATTATTATATTTAATATCACAATTTAATCGTTCAGAAAAAGTCGCCTTAAGTACGATCACTTGAAAGAAATTTTGAAAATTTAAGGAATGAGTTTACGAAAAGGGATACTTAAGGTTATTCTGGCGAATGATATTGTGGCATTGTGGTGTGTGTAATATTTATGTTTTCAGTCATTTTCATAATGATGATTAATAAATTTTTTTTTCAGGTATGGTTTCAAAATCGGAGAGCGAAATGGAGAAAAAGGGAGAAAGCAATGGGAAGGGACAGTCCAAACTTACCTTCAGGTGTAGATCTTTTAATGGGACCAAGAACGGATCTGCCTTCCTTATACCCGAGTTCCGGACCACACCTGCATAGAGGTATACCCATGCCTCCATCTGATCATCATCTATGGCCACTCTCCACTGGACTTCAAAGTCCACTAGGACTTTCTCATATGTTGAACTATAATAGCAACAATTCCCCAACTTTAGGTCCACCCGGTTTATTTGGACACCATCATCCACCTTCTTGGCCCAAAGCAGTCACTCCACTTAGCTCAGCTTTGTTATCAGTATACATGCTCAGTTCGGCAGCTGCAGCTTCAGCCTCAACTTCCTCTCCGACTACAGCACCATCTGTTACAAGTTTTGCGCACCATCCGGCTTTGTCTTCAGGCAAAGCGTCCTTCCTTGGACAACCTCATCTTCAACCAACTTTTCTGGGTATGGACTCTGGACCATTAGTGAAAGGACTGGATGCTGGAAGAGCCAGCATAGACATACTTAGGTTAAAAGCCAAAGAGCATGTTTTAGAGAGGCCAAGTCCTTCTCCGCAACCTCCTTCCAGGCCTGAATCGTCTTCGTGAGTTCTAAACAAAGGAATAGACTTGTACTCACTCTAACTTACTAATATATGTCATGTGACAGTTGTACTGCATACGATTGTGTGTGTGTGAACTTTTCTAAGTGACATTTATCAGATATGCTCATTTTTGTGCAGAATGAGCATCAGTCTGAGATCTCCTATTAGTGCTAGTATTAAAATGCAAACATTATTTATCCTGAATAAAAATACATCAATAAAAATATTAGTCTCTTTTTTTACACAATTCTTTCACCAGAGCAAGATGAAAAAAATTATTCTTTTTTAGAAAAAAAAAGCTTGTATTAAAGAACAAAAAATTTAATTTAAATTAAGAACCTTAATCAACAAACTCTAAATTCATTTATCAAAATCCAAGAGCAATGTAAGATTTGACAATGCTTTTAGTCAATAGATTTTACGAAACGATAACGATTTACGATTAAGAAAGAAAATTACGATCACGATAATTCTTCTTATTCAGAGAAATATGGTTTGTTATCACATTTTTGTGCCGTAAACAAAATTCTTGAATGGTAAATTTGAACAAATAACTTTTAATGCACAAAATTTATTTCAAAACAAATTTTGAAAAAGACAAAGTATTTTCAAAACCAATAATTAGATAATTATTGTAGAAGGAAAAACTGAAATAACAAATTTTTTTTGTATTTTTATTGAAAGCTCTAACAAGACAATACCACAAAGTGTAACAATTCTTGATACCGGAGAAAAAAATTCTTTATCGAGTTTAAGTAATTTAATTCAAATATATTACTAATATTTTTAGAGACTACTTGGATTGTTTCCAAAATATATCTCCCCCTCCTCAGGAAAAAAAAAAAAAAAAAAAAACGCTTAGACTAAAAAATGGGAGAGGGGGGGGGGAAGAGGAATTTCTGCGAAAAGGAAAGATGTCGTATGACTTCCGTGTACGAAGACACTTTAAATACCGGCAACAGAAATAATTTAGTTTTGTGCATTTTCTTGTTTTATCTTAAAATTTCATATACTGAGTTCTTATGAGGATCTTGTAATAATTTAAAAAAAATTATTATGGTAATGAATGCTGTGAGTTTAAAATTAAAAATACATCTAAAAAATATTTGGTTAAATATTTTCCATTTGGTACATTTATCAAATGTGTGTATATTTGATGTTGATTTCAAAAGAATGACTCACAGTAGGTGAAATGCCAAGGAACTAGCTCCATATGGCTGAAGTTTAATCTATCACAAGACTTAAGACGATTTTGATTTATTATTCAAGTTTTGCTTTGCAAATGAAGATGTTTGTTTTTGCACGTATGGCATAGAATAGTGGATATAGAGTTCACCACTAACCAGGCACTACTTGTAAGTATAAAATGTTAACGATGAGTAATTAAAAGTTTTTAAGGATACTTTATAAATAATGTGAAATATATGTTCCTTATCTTCGATTATTAGGAACTGAAAATAAAAAAAATTTAAATATAATTTTTTTTAAATGCAATTTTAAAAAAAATATTAATACTGAAGTTGTTTAAACCTTTAATAGTCTCAGCTGTTTGAAACGTATAATTATAAGAGAATGTTCCTTACATTAATGTACTAAATACTAATATGTACATTTACACAGCGAATGTTGAGCATACTTCCCCTTTCATAAATGTTTTTAGAATCTTTATCAAAAAGAAAGGCATATAAACGTCATCGAAATCTGTCGGATCCAAATTAAAAACCTGCTTTATTGCTAGTTGAAAATTGAAAGTTTTTCTAATCAGCTTTCAACAGTTTTCTTTTTTGTTTCCACCCCTAGTTAAACAGGATTTGATGTTTAGGGCAACCTTTTTTCTCTATTATTATTCATCAGATTCAGATAGTATTTTTTTTTCTACGCCTAAATATAAATTTTTATGGAGTATTCTAAAAATATATATTAAGGGTGGTATTTTGGAGACACCTGGTAGTCAGCTTATCTAAAGAACAGTGTATACATGATAAATTTGATGGTAAGTGCAAAATGCAAATTCAAAAGCCTCAATGTTCCCAATTTAATGGTATTGCAATGTTTCTACTTTTATGATCGCCTAAATACGGCTGGCTCACTCAAAATATTTTACGGTAATTTAGTTTTAAAGGAACTAAAACAATTATTGACGAAATGTATGAAATTTGTTTTTAAATTTCTAATCACGTTTTGAACAATCTCCGCTAGTCTATGATAATTTATTTTGAAAAATAACTAACCTCGAATCGATAAAATTGATCTTAATCATTTCCATTGTTACAGTTNAAACGTCATCGAAATCTGACGAATCCAAATTAAAAACCTGCTTTATTGCTAGTTGAAAATTGAAAGTTTTTCTAATCAGATTTCAACACTTTTCTTTTTTGTTTTCACCCCTAGTTAAACAGGATTTGATGTTTCGGGCAACCTTTTTTCTCAATTATTATTCATCAGATTCAGATAGTATTTTTTTTCTACGCCTAAATATTAATTTTCAATCTTTAATGTGCATGCATTCATGTCTTAATTTGTGTGGAGTATTCTAAAAATATATATTAAGGGTGGTATGTTGGGGACACCTGGTAGTCAGCTTATCTAAAGAACAGTGTATACATGATAAATTTGATGGTAAGTGCAAAATGCGAATTCAAAAGCCTCAATGTTCCCAATTTAATGGTATTGCAATGTTCCTACTTTTATGATCACCCAAATACGGCTGGCTCACTCAACATATTTTACGGTAATTTAGTTTTGAAGGAACTAAAACAATTATTGACGAAATGCATCAAATTTGGTTTTAAATTTCTAATCACGTTTTGAACTATTTCCGCCAGTCTGTGGTAATTTATTTCAAAAAATAACTAACCTTGAATCGATAAAATTGATCTTAATCATTTCCATGTTTACAGATTTTTTTTTCTTTATAGAAAATTACAGCAACGCTTTAATTTTAAATTAATAAAATATAATCCTGATAATACGCTAATCTGGATTATCCTCTGTACAGTTTATCCACAGTCGGTTACTTAAACAAAATCTTAAGTGTACGAAATGTTTGTTAAAATAAATTCTGGTTTCAACTTCGACTTTTTTTTTTCCATATGAGATTCCTTATCAAATTGCGCGTCAACAGCATGAAAAATCAATCTAATGATATTTCATGCGCGTGCATAAGGAGAAATAGACGAAAACGTCGCCAAAAGTTTCAAAACAAGTTTTAAATATTTTGATTGCAATTTGTTTTAATTGATGAAAAACGAAAAAATTAAACTATACATTTTATATATAATACTATATATAAACTCAGGCCTGGATAAGATTAATCAAGAAACTATTCATAAAAAATTTAAAATATTTGAAATTAAGGAAAGAAAATTTTAAAAAATAAATTAATTTATAACTAACCAATATTAGTTAAAACAATATAAATTAATTAAATTAAATAAAAACAATTTAAATTAAAAAAAAATTAAAAATGAATTTTGAGTTATTGTTTGTTTAAAATACAAGATGAAGTTTTATATTCAATAAATGCATTATCCCTGAGAAGAAAAAAAAGTATGGTCAAAAATTATAGAATGTGACAAAATTTTACCACGTTTCTGGCTCTATGGGAACACCTAAAAGCTCCGCAATTTTTACCGAAGCTCCCTGGTAATGATTTAAGTAACAATAAAATAGGGTTTTATCATATGTGTTAAAATTTGGTAATTTTACTATGATACCTTTGAGCATGGCATAAAAAATATTTATTCAATTAAATTTACCTTTCAGATATGTATTTTTTACCATGTGCTTGGTAATATGAACTATAATTTTGAAAATCGGAATGTTCGGTTAACTGTTACCATGTGAACGGAAAAATTACCGAATGAATGGTTTAAATATCGCATATTTTTGTTTTTATTGTTAGAATTACGGCTTTTTTTTACCAGAAATATTTTTATCATATAGTATGGAAATTTCACCAGATTTTTTCTTCGTGATTAAATCATTATTTCCGTTGTACAGTGTATTTATATGATGGAGATGTAACTATGCAGATTTTTGTGCACTGACTCCTGATTCTTTAGGCTATTGCGCGTGTAACATGATAATCAATGGCCTAATACTGTTCAATCTAAACTACTACTTAAAACTATTCAAGTATGCTTTTTCGAAAGTCAAATGGCGCTTTCACATTTTAACACAATGTGATAGCAATGTTAAATTATGAGAATTTACTCAAATAATTCATTGAATAATCGTCTAAAACTATTCAAAAGTGTGCTTTTATAGTTTTTTAAAACTATTGAAGTGTGCTTTTTCGAAAGTCAAATGGCGCTTTCACATTTTAACACAATGTGATAGCAATGTTAAATTATGTGAATTTACTCAAATAATTTACTGAATAATCGTCTAAAACTATTCAAAAGTGTGCTTTTATAGTTTTTTTAAAACTATTGAAGTGTGCTTTTTCCAAATTCAAATGGCACTTTCACAATTTAACACAGTGTAATAGCAATGTTAAAATTTGAGAATTTACTCAAATAATGTATTGAATAATCGTGCGATGAGGATATATGTCCTATCAAACTATAGTTACTCATATTTGTAAGAACTATATATTTGAAACGCATTGTGATTGAAAAAGAACAAGTAATATCGTAAGAGGCAAGGATTCAAATTATAATCAACGTATTTTCTATGTTCGGAAACTTTCTTTTTATCCAATTTTAAAACTTTTCATTGATATTAAAGTTTAATCCACCAGATATTAAAGTTGAGACGGCAAAAATTTACAGGAAATAAGTTGAAAGCAGTTTTGAACATGTCTAACAGCCTTCCGGCTATCTCCATCTGAAGAAAACCGCCCAGAAGGTTCATGTCTGGATAGCAAACGAAGCTAAGTAGGAAATTGGAAAATTCATAATTAAACTTAACAAACACAATTTCTACTCCTATTTGATTAGATGGCGAAAATCAATTCTCATCTCAAGACGATGGAAAACTTATTAAGATTCTTGCATAGCTGATTACGCTCCCAAATCCATTCAGGTTAAATAATTTAGTTTAATTTTCATAGTTGATAACTTCATCCGATTTAATAAGTTAAAACTAATTTCGTTTTTGATTGGTTAATACAGTTTTCTCAGTTAGTGAATTATAAGTAATAGTCACATAACTGGATAGAACGGGAATTGTCGAAGATAATCGAATTCACGA